GCTTGGTAAACTATTTGACGTCTCTGACTATTATTTCTTTGTTGATGTGTTTGTGCTAATGAGAGACTTGCTCTCTCTACCTGGTGGCTTAGTGAGAGCTTTGAAGCATAGTGGCGTTCCCATACAAAATAACCATTGTTTGATGACCTATTCTCTATGTTCATGTTAATAAAAATGATACCCCTTTTATCAAGATTATTCATGGGTATCCCTCTAGATGTAACAAACTAGAGGGATGCATTCCTCTGGGAGACCTTCACCCCATAACAAAAATGTTCTTTTTGGTTCTTTTGTTAAAGGTGGTTTGTATAGAAATTCTCTTCATGGATGTTTTATTTTGAGGTGCTTCAATCCGATCTTATTTGGATGCATACTCTCAACCCATCACATGAGGATTAACTATATATAAGCCTTCCACTTGCTTCTTTTTGTTTGTCTATTTATCGTCATATATCCTTCTCTTTGATTTCTCTCCTCTTCGAATCATTAACATAATTTGAGTGGGAGATTTATTTGAAAACAGAATAATACGATGAAATAAAATAGGCAAGTTGGTGACTTTGAGTCTTAAAAAGGACCAAGAAAATAATGTCATCAACATAACTTGGTCAACCAGAAAGGAAGGATCTGCATGCACTAGGAAGGAAAGCTCTGCGACTCGTATCTAATCCTAAGAGGTTGGTCGGCTAGGTCGAAAAGGAATGTTAAATGATATCAACTTGAGAGCCAATTCGTTTTATCAACTTAGGAAAGAAAATACTTGGACTTACATCTAAGTCGGGAGCTGATCGAGGTGTAAACTCAAAGGCATGAAACCTGAGTAAACTAGGAAGGAAAGCTCTAGGACTGGCGTCAAACCTAGAGGGTGACTTGATCAAGTAGGAATGCCCAAGAGACTCAAATCCGCTAAAAAACTAGTCAGATTAATCATATCAAGAAGGAAGATTTTGAGGTTTGCATCCTTCCTGAGATCTGATCGAGGCATGAGGTCTAAGGCACGAATCTTGATAAACTAGGAAGGAAAGCTCTAAGATAAACATCTAACCTAGAAGAAGCTAGGAATGAGCTAGAATGTTGAGGGACTCACATCCGCTTGAAATCTAGTCAAAATGATCAAATCAGTGAAGAAAACATCTAGATTTACATCTAACCCAAGAGCTGATCAAAGTATAGAACATCTAATACCTGTATAGCTTGGGAGGAATGCCAAAGGACTGATATCCAACCTGAGAGGTGAACAAGTTGACTAGGTCAAGCAGGAATGATGGGGGTCTCACATCTAACTCAAGAACATAAATGAAAAGATGAGCTTAAGAAAGAAAACTAAGGACTCATATCCAACCCACAAACTGATCAAGGCATGAAACCTTAAATACCTGTTACACTAGGGAAAAATGCCAAGGGACGTATATCTAGCCTTGGAGGTGAACGAATTGACTAGTTCAGGAAGGAATGTCGGGGACCTCACATCCAACTTGAGCACTTAGTCAAAAACATTAGCTTAGGAAAGAAAGCAAAGGGACTCACATCCACCCTAAGGGCTGATCTAGGCATGAAAACTCAAATACCTTTTGCGCTAGGGAGGAATGCCAATGGATTGATATCCTGCCCGAACGATTAACAAGTCGTCTAGGAAGCCAGTAACTATAAAATTAGAACATCCTAAAATGAGTTGCTCTCATGCACAAACTAACTATGAAGTCATATGGTTCCAAAGACATAAAAATCAAGTGGTTATGAAGCCAGATGTGTCATAAGATAAGATGTTCTCATGAATGAACTGACTGAGAAGTCATATGGTTTGAGAAGCACCGAAGTAAAGTGGCTATGAAGCTAGAAAAATCTTGAAATGAGAAGCACTCATTAAAGAACCAACTATGAAGTCAAATGATTCAAGACACATCATATACATGATGCTGAGGATATTTAGCAACCTAAGTTGCATTAGCAAGAAGCTATCATAGAAATTCTTACTGCACACAACATCATAGTATGATTGAATATTAAGAAATCACAACTAGACATGGATCAGTTAAATAATCAAGGTGATCAAACCAATACAACATGGTTTTCAACAAGGGGAGAAAAAACAGCTGAGTTGGTGAAGAATAACAAACGGTAGGTTGACCTAGATTGTCCTATCATAAAGGTGTTTTTATAAGCACTAGCAAGATGAATCTTGCTGAGGATGTTTTTGGAACATGATGAAATCTCACTCAAGCATCAATAAACTAAACAAGAGAAGGCTCAAGCTAACGTGACATGTCTAATGACAAGGTAACATGGTGGAGCATCCGAGGCTACTCGACCAAGGTTTGGTTCCAAAACGTTAGTCCTTTATATTACATAATGCCTGTTGTTTTATCCCCAAATCCTAATTACATAGTCGTAAAATACTGGTAAGAGGGAAGCGAGGCTCCTACCATTACTTAGGTAGGTTGGACAGCTAGCTGAGTGCTAGCCGTAGTAGGCACATAGGTCAGCTCACCAGCAGGTTGGCCTCCTTGCATTTATCGAAGAAGGATCAATGAGCCGGAGGACGAAACTTCATGTCCAGGGCACTTCTACCCAATGTTATTGTAAGTGAGTTGCTTAACTCGCCTGAAACCTTCAATCCAACCTTCCACCGGCCTCTTTATCACCCAAGTTTCTTAGCTCCCTCGGGCTAGGCCCCTTCTCCAAATTTCTTTGTCTCAGTCTTCTCACCCTCAGAGCAGTTGCCTCCCTCGATTTGTTTCTCCCTCTCAAGCTCCTTCTCCTAGTAGACTTGTGATGCATAGTGACCAAAGGCTTTAGCCAAAATTTCTTGGGTAATACAGTCTTCAAGAGTCTTCTTATCACTTGTCATGAAGATCCTCTATAAACTAGTCGACTGAACAATGCACTCTCAAGTAATTAGGATAACGAAAGTGCCAATCATGCCATATTTATAGAGTCATTGCACAAAAAAAAATTAGTAAGTTCAATTATTAAAGTACTAAATATGAAAACAAACAAATCTGTTTTTTGCATTAAATTATATTATTCTTATCGCAACATGACATTCAAGAAGCAAAATAATCAGGGAACTAAATAAGTATATTAGAAATGCATTAACAAAAATATTAATAAAATTCAATGAAAAACAAGACAAATGTATGATCAAGAATGACCCATCAGAAGTAGGAACCAAATTAGTAAAAGACCAAAGGATCTCGTTGATCAATTGCAACTCCCTCAGAACAAGATTCGAGCGAGGTGAATGAAGGACGTTCGTGTTAAAGATCGAGACTTATCTAACGTAGGAAGGAATAAGTCAAACTCTCATCCAAATATCACCAGATGCCTTGCAAGAGCCTCCAAGGAACTTCAAAAGGCTCAAGGTTCTCATCGTCGAACTTTCATCGAGCCTTCCATATGGAACTTTTATCAAAAGGGGTATTTTACCCATTAGATTATGATGATTCGTCATCTGCTGATGACCAAGTTCTATCCCAACAATATGAGTTTCTCATCTAAGGCTCCAAAGTTGACAATCAGATCAAATGATGCACTGACGACCGAAGGACCTCTAGAGTTACCCAACTTAACAGAATCGATTGAATGTACCTGACTAACCAAGGATTACATATTTTTACCGACCAAACTATAAGATAGCCAAACCATGGGCTCCTTTATTGTATATATATGCCCAAAGTATCCTTTATCACCACCCATAAAAGTAAGGACAACTATATATTTTTTTACTTTATACACTCTTACCTGTAAATAAGGGTCATTTCTATAATAAGAGATTAATCCGCCACCTTTAAAAAATCAGAGTTTTACCATGCGCTCCCTCCCATCTTAAGTGTGAATCACAAGACAATTTCAGATTCAACATCATTATTTTTTTCAAAATCAATACTAAAAAGTCTGAGAAGTTCTCATAATGCAATATTTATATTCTAATATTTAAAAATCATATAATCTCACTGATCACAAGACAATTTCAGATTCAACATCATTATTTTCTTCAAAATCAATACTAAAAAGTCGAGAAGTTCTCATAATGTAATATTTATATTCTAATATTCAATAATCATATAATCTCAATGTATTCATTGTACTTTTTCTTATCAATAATAAGTTCGATTCTATTTTATCTTCTCATTAAAACTTCTGCCCTCCCATTCATCCAAATTTGATCCCATGATTTCCATTGAAATTCCTAATGATTATTTTTATTCATAGAAATGAAACCCATACTTAAATTAATCGTGTATATTGAAAAGATTTTATTTATCTTAAGAAAAAAACTAATAATTATAAAAATAAAAGTTTACACACATGCCATTCAATTTTAATGTATTTACATATCTAACACATAAATTATATATATATATATATATATACTTATAAAACCTTACAATTAAAAATATAAGCATAAAAATGAATATTTCATTTTTAAATAGTTAATGACTGATATTGCTGTCATGATGTCAAATATTTCACATTTATGTATGTAAATATGAAAGTTTAGGTGTTATGCATATAAATATATAATCAGTGTGATATGTATGTAAATGCCCCTTACAAAAAATTATAGTCATTTAGAAGCACTTGCATAATAATATGAACAGTGGCATCCCTTGTAAAATGTAAACAATGTTGAATCCATATGGCAAATGTTGAATCCAACTGCATAAGAAAAGCAGCACATAATAAACGAATAAAATGTAAACAAGTCTTCAATTTCATTTTCTAAACATATCAAGAAGCATATTGATTCAGGTACAATGATCTTCAATTAGAAGATCAGCAGTATCTGTAACACAACAATAAGAAAAGCAGCAAGAACTCTCTTTCCAGAAAAGAATCCATCTGAATGCACAGTTTTCACAATGTAAAATATGCCATAACAATAGGATGAAATTTTTATATAATAATTTAAGATACAGTTAAGTGGCAGTACTGTAATTAGAAAGAGAGTCGAAATACAAGGAAATATGACCAAATATGTTATTTCACCGAGTTTAAGTCCGGTGTGGTAATAATCGTTCTTAACGTCGAGCTGGACGTGATGCATATAGATTTTACGGCTGCTCTCTTCAACCTGAGCCATCGGCAAATATTGTTTAGGATTAGGCACTTTTTTAAATTATCAAAATAGAGAAAGGATGAAGCCAAAAGTAATTGAATCATAATATCGGCGAAAGGACAAATTGTTAACTCTCAATAAAAAAAAAATACATCTTCAGCAAGATGCATGACTTCATGCCATTAGCATGTTTAAAGACATGTAAGGTATGCTTGAGAAAGCTTTTCGCTTGTATGGTGTTTCACACTACCATCGTAAGTTCGTTTAGGGATCTGTTTTCCTGAAGTATGGTGTTTCGCACTACCATCGTAAGTTCGTTTAGGGATCTGTTTTCCTGAAAAAAAATATATATATATATATATATATAATTCCCACCATAACTTTTTAAGAAATTGTTTTTCCCACCACAATTTTGCAAACACCTTTACTAAAATACCGCAACCGAACCAAATAGAACTTTAGCCTCGCAAGATTTGAAGTTCAACATTTTATTTTATGTAATGAAGATTGAATGAATTAAGACATCTGAGCTCGTTTCATCAACACGCTTGCACGGCATGCACACACGCACTTAGCTCCACATTCAAGATGCTACATTTACATTTAACCATCCTAAAACAAATCAAAACCATTTAGCACCCTTCAAATATGTTTGAATTTTGTGCGCAAAAAAGCCAGGTTCATATTCAGACATACTTTCAAATTTCTAGATTTAATTGAATTATTTACTGTTTTTTTTTTTTTTTTGGTTAACTTTCAATACAAAGGTCATAATCTTTTATATGTAAAATTTTACAAGTTCGTTTAGGATCCAACAACAAGCCTTTATCCTACTAAGTGGGGTCGGCTATATAAATCCCTTTTCTCCATTGTTCCTATTGAGTGTCATATTTTCATTTAATTCTAATAAATTAAGAATCAATTTCAGTCTTTCAAAGGAGCTCATTCTGTTTCCAAAACTTTCTCTTAGCAATATTTTTACAAATCTGAATGTTCCTTTTCTTCATTTGTGTGAGCCTCATTGAATGTCTAGATCCTTCAATCCTAATATTCCAACAATCCATCAAGGTTTTTGTACAAGAGGATTATCTGATGACTCATTTAGAGTTTTCAAATCAAACACTTAGCAAAAAATATAAAAATATTCTTCTTGTAAGCTAACACTGTAAATGTAGAGTCTGAAATAGGATTGGTTATCTTCTAATCCTTTTATGATCAGCTTACAACAATGAAACTACTTTTATGAATTGACAATGTAAAGCTCATTCACAACTTATATTTGTTTAAAACTGATTTCATAAAACAAGATGAAAATAAGTTTGAAAACTGATTTTATAAAACCAAGTACGGCATAAATGTTAACAATAAATGTAAAACAACCAATCCCTTTGCTTGATCTTGCTATTTTCATATCAAAAAAATATTTTAATAAATAAAGCCCTAAATTTCAAATTCATTAGCTAAGACACCGTTTGACCTATTTATTGCTTAACCATGATTTCCTTTCAAAATGACATCAACATATATGATGAAAATAAAAAGTTTACCCTTAGGTAATTACTTGACCCTGTAGACTTCATTTGCACCGTTCCTATTCTCATATAAGGAAGGAATTGTCACATAGACTTCATCTTCCAAACCCCATGTAGAACGATACTATTACATCTGGTTGGTGGAGCGGCTGATCTGAAGTGACAGTAGGAGAGAATTATCTTAATTGAGTTCATCTTAATAACTAAGGCAAACCATCTTAATAATCAATACAATAAGTTTGAACAAAGCTTTTTGCCATAAATCCTGCTTTGTATGAGAATGTAATTCGGTTTGCTTTATATTTCGTATGGAAGATTCATTTATATCAAACAACTTTCAGTAAGAGCTTCCAAAAAATCGTCCTTTCAGAGGCTTAAATTTCTTTAAGAAATTCAATTAGCTTTTTATTTATATATATGTATATATATATATATATATAGATAGATAATTGAATGAAAACAAATGAGCAGCGGTGGCTCCCTACGCGTTAATTTCAAAAAAAGGTACAGGAAAAGGGAGGAGGGGGGAGGATCCCCGTCTATGAAACCCAAAAAATACAATTGACACACCCCTAGGGGTTCCTCTCCCCACAGTACAACACACACAAAAAAGAATCTCCAAAATATAGGTATACCAAAAAAAAAACCAAAAGGCCAAAACATAAGTAAGCATGTGATCTTGTGTAGCTTGAGAAGTAACTTGAAAAGTAAAGTAGAAATCGTGTACAAAGGTGTCTTCAGATTAGCAGAGTTCTCCAAAATCATCTGCAGCAAAAGGAAAACCTGCCAAGCAAAATATAAAACCCGCAAGAGGAGAAATGTAGACCCCAACCATCAAACCAAAAGCAGCTCCTCCTTAGAGCCAATAAGCAGAAATGATTAAAAACGGACATAAGGCAAATTTAAACTATCCCCAATGAGGAGTCTTCTAAGAGGAGCTGGGGGGTGGATACCAACGTGACAGACCTCCCCTGCATGCTGCAAGCCAATCAACAGGGGAGTTGCCCTCTCTATGAATGAATTTCAAGTTTACCTCAAGATGCTTTTGAGCCATAAAAATTAAAATACGTTTAAAAGTGCATAATATATCCCAGAGGGGAGGAGAGGTACCCAAAAGAATATCATAGAGCATTTTAGAATCTATTTCTACCTCTAATTTATGAAAATTGAAAACATTAGCCACCATTAATGCCAAAAAACCCCCCAGCATTCCGTTTCCAATGGATTATCAACAACAACAGGGGAGGTGAAAAAACAAAGACACCTACCCTCAAAATCTCTAAATATTCCCCCAACCGCAGCATAATCAGGATGCCAACAACCATCCACATTTAATTTAGCATAACTCGGTGAGTGAGGAGCCCACCTAATGAGCCGGAGGGGGCTTTAAAACCTGAACATCAGTAGAACCAGCCCTTAAGACTTTATTGTAATAGGCAATCACATAAGCAACAGTCATAGAAGCAGTGGTGGGAGAAGTGTGGTATTTAAAACTGTTTCTGGAGTTTCAAAGGAACCAAAAAACTAGTAAAGGAAGGAGAAACCCTTCATTACTGATATCAAAATCTTTCCATTGCCATAAATATTTGCTTAAAGAGCCTCTATGCATCCAAGAAAAACCGAAATGTGCATCAAGCATATCCTATACTCTTAAAGAGAAAGCACATTCAAAGAAAATGTGCCTCATGTCTTCCTCCTCCATTTTGCACATATGACATCTCGAGGTCATTTTTAAATCTTTTAACTTAAGAATATCATCAATAGCTATTAAAAAAATGAGGTAGCGTCAAAGGAAAAAGGATATAGAGGGAGATAAAAGTTTATGCCAAATTCATTTTCCCCATAACCAATCACGATGTGAAAAAAAAATTTGATAATTTAATAAGCCTCTATGTATCCAGGCGATACCAAAATGTAAGCCCAAAAAGTTCCAAATATTTAAAGAGAAAGCACATTAAAAAAAATATTTATCTCGAATCTTCCTCGGCAACTTTGCACATAGGACATCTCAAAGCCAATTTGAGGCCTCTCAGCTTAAGAATGTCATCAATAGGAAGTAAAGAAGAGAAAAATCGTCAGAGAAAAAAGGATATAGAGGGAGTTAAAACCTGAGAAAGGTGAGTCTTGATATGATACCGTCACCAATATCCCAAAACATGAACTCACTAGCAGTAGACCTGATATTAACAATAGCTTTCCAGATACGAGAATCACCAACCTTCCATAAAACCTGAGAAGGGTGAGATAGAACACAATATTTCTGATGCATAAAAGAAGCCCATAGAGATGAATCCATTCTAAATTTAAACCAAAGTTTGCAAAGATTTATTTCAACCATATGTTTCAAGGCTTTGAAGCCAAAACCGTCAGCCTTCTTAGGCTTGCCAAGAGCTCCAAATCCTCTTAGCACCATTCCCCACCCAAAGGAATTTATTAAAAAGTCTCTCCATGATAGTTATAACACTTTTTTTAGGATTAAACACTCGCAAAGCATATAGAAGAATAATTTGTAGAACACTAGAAAGCAAAAAGATCCTGCCCCCAGTAGAAAATATTTCTCCAATCATTAATTTTACGTTTTGATTTTATCTATAACATCATCCATATGAATTTGTTTCCTTCTTCTCCTTATCAAATTGACCCTAAGATATTTAAGAGGGAGAGAGACATGATGAAAATCAGTATATGTAACTCCCCATTGAATAAGATGTTGCTTTACCTGTTTGCCAAAAAATATCTGACACTGGTCACAATTAAAGCTAAGTCCAGAGCAATTCTGAAAATACTGTAAAAGCCCCATCACTTGTGTTATAGCGAGTGTGGATGCATTAGCAAAAAGAATGATGTCATCTGCATAAGCAATAGCTTTGTCAGAGAACCGTGCGTGAGGATGTGAAAACTGAAAATGATTAAGCATCCTGGATAAATAGTCAAAAGCTAAAATGAAAATAATAAGGGAAAGGAGGTCTCCCTATTTAATACCACGACATGCAATGAAAAAGCCATAAGAGTTTCCATTAACTAACACAGAGTAAAAGTTGTTAGTCAACAATCTTTTAACCAAAGTGTAAAAACTGGTATTGAAACCCCTAGTTTTCAGAACGTTGATAATGAAATCCCAATTTATGGTATTAAAGGCTTTATTGATATCTAATTTGATAATCAGATTACCACCCCTGCATTTTTTATCAAGATCCTGCAAAATTTCTTGTGCCAAGAGAATATTATCAGAAATATCACGATCTTTAACGAAGACCGACTGATGAGGGGAGATAAGGAAAGGTAGGTGAGGTTAGAAAGGTTGGAGACGGGCCACAATCAGTTTACTAATAATTTTAGATATAACATAAGTTAGAAAGATGGGCCGAAAGTTCTTCCAATGAGATTTTTCATTTGATTTAGGGATAAGACCAATCAGAGCGGCAGAGAAATACTTTCCAGGATCATCACCCTGAAAAAAACTTTGAATAACAAGTACCACCTCGTTCTTAATAATGTTTCAACAGGAAATATAAAAAGCGGAAGTAAAACCATCTGGGCCAGGAGCTTTCTGAGAGCTAATATCTTTAAGAGCAATAAAAATCTCCAATTTAGTAGGGGGGTCGGACAGAGAGGGAGAAAACCATATCTCTCTGATTTTCTCTGATTCTCAAATTAGTCTGAAAGAATATCAATGGCAAGTAGAGTATCAGCATAGAGAGAAGAGAAATAATCAGCTGCATTGGAACCAATCTGGTCAGTATCGGTGAGAACAGAGCCCTCCGTCGTGACAATCTTAATAATGGTATTTAAAATCATATTTTGGAAGCCCATAGAGAAATTTACCAACCAGATGAAAACGACAAGCAGAGGCAAGAATGAAGTTCTCAGAATCAGAGAGAAACAACACAAAAGGTAACATCCATTTCAATTAGTATTCTAGCCATTAATGGCCTAGTTAGATAAAAGGTAGGAGCATCCAGCATTAAAGACTTTCCATACATAGCAGCTATAGAAAACAAAATTTCATGATTGTACAGATGAACTTTTAAACCCGGAAGTTTTAGCCAGACTGGGATAACAGGGAGTTCGGTTTTCAGATTGAACTCCGTAGTCCATTTAAGGACCTTCATCCACACATCCCCAAAATGTACAGTTCTACGTGCAAACAGTTTAGCATAATCATCTTCATTAGAAAGTTGGATAAGAATATGTCTACTATCCAGTGCACCGATCTTCCAACCCCCCGATAACTTCAAAAGTTCAAAATTCTTCATCAAAAAAATCATATTTTGGAAGCCCATAGAGAAATTTACCAACCAGATGAAAACGACAAGCAGAGGCAAGAATGAAGTTCTCAGAATCAGAGAGAAACAACACAAAAGGTAACATCCATTTCAATTAGTATTCTAGCCATTAATGGCCTAGTTAGATAAAAGGTAGGAGCATCCAGCATTAAAGACTTTCCATACATAGCAGCTATAGAAAACAAAATTTCATGATTGTACAGATGAACTTTTAAACCCGGAAGTTTTAGCCAGACTGGGATAACAGGGAGTTCGGTTTTCAGATTGAACTCCGTAGTCCATTTAAGGACCTTCATCCACACATCACCAAAATGTACAGTTCTACGTGCAAACAGTTTAGCATAATCATCTTCATTAGAAAGTTGGATAAGAATATGTCTACTATCCAGTGCACCGATCTTCCAACCCCCCGATAACTTCAAAAGTTCAAAATTCTTCATCAAAAAAATCATATTTTGGAAGCCCATAGAGAAATTTACCAACCAGATGAAAACGACAAGCAGAGGCAAGAATGAAGTTCTCAGAATCAGAGAGAAACAACACAAAAGGTAACATCCATTTCAATTAGTATTCTAGCCATTAATGGCCTAGTTAGATAAAAGGTAGGAGCATCCAGCATTAAAGACTTTCCATACATAGCAGCTATAGAAAACAAAATTTCATGATTGTACAGATGAACTTTTAAACCCGGAAGTTTTAGCCAGACTGGGATAACAGGGAGTTCGGTTTTCAGATTGAACTCCGTAGTCCATTTAAGGACCTTCATCCACACATCACCAAAATGTACAGTTCTACGTGCAAACAGTTTAGCATAATCATCTTCATTAGAAAGTTGGATAAGAATATGTCTACTATCCAGTGCACCGAT